CGGCCGCGAGTAGCGTTCCCGTACGAATCGAGCGCGTTAATAGTCTCGCCGATTGTACGATCTGCGAAATTAGGATACACGGTAGAGTCTCGGCGCTAATCTAACCTTACCCCGCGGACGATTATGCTCCACACCACGTGCCAGAGAGACTGGCAAACTCACGATGACGTAATATCTACTATTCGACACTGAGGAAAAAAAAGGATGTGAGGAGAAGGGGAGAAAAGATTGATGATTATTTTATATAATATGTATGCATCATAGACGAAGCATTGTGTCCGTAAATTGAGGCCGAAAGTTGACACCTTAAAAAGCCCATTGGCTTTTATAGAAGTGATAATAATATCACAAGGACATCATTATTCATAATTTATTTGTCACCTATTCAAGGAATACGTACATCAAGTCAAGAAAAAGTTCAAATGACTTTTTATTTAAATGGCGTCGTGAAAATCAAAATGATAATTTTTTATTAATATAAAATTTAACTCTGTTTATTAAACGTTAAAAATTAAAATAAAGTTATTTTGATTATCAACTTAATTTTGTGTTCCTTGAATATAAGTTTGGTCTTAAATAACAAATGATGTTATGATACGCACCTGAGATGTAAATAAACAGTGAAGTTAGCTGAAAGGAATACACTTTGAGACAAAATGAGAAAATGAATATCAATTTATTTTATATTACAATTACAGGATTGGACATGTATTTGAAACACTTTTATTTAAAACACAGTTTTTACAATAATTTGAAAATTACATATTTTGTATTTAAAATCGAAAGATTGAAATAAAATTTTAATAAGTATAATTTGCAATTCAAATTATTGATTGTCAAATACAAAATATTTTCAACTTTTTGTTATTAATGCTGAAATATAAAATAAAAAACACTTATATACTTCCATGAAATACAACATATAATCATCTTATAAATACCTTTTTTTTTTAAATAAAAATATTTCAAATATATACCCAGTCCTGTTTATATATTTATAAACTTATTTGCTGCCAACTTCACTTCGCACTCTATAAATACAGTAAAAGTATGTAAATGCCCGGTCTATAATATTCTGTTAAATTATTCATGTAAATATTGTAAATAGAATACAAGAGACTATCTGCTTTGTCAATGAGAGCAACTTTGTAACTGTTAAGAGAGATTCTTTAATATATAATTGGCTCATATTGTACTTATTTAGATATTTAGATCCAAGTGTGAGGAACTAACGGCGAAAGCAATCACATCAAAGAATTTTACAACAATTACAAAGCTGCTTTTTCTACTGAACATATAGTAGTTCCGTAAAATATCACGTGGATCAACATAATTCCTTAATACTTTTCTTGATCCACGTGGTATTTTACGAAACTACTATATGTTCAGCAGAAAAAGCAGCTTTGTAATTGTTGTAAAATTCTTTGCACTGTATTTCTCTTATAGCGAAAAAGAATGATGTTAATGCACTCACAAGAATATTTCGCAATATGCGACTCACGATGTCCTTTATCTTTCGAGATCCAAATTTTCGTGCACGTGCAAACGAAAAAACGTGTACTTCTTAAATGTCCGTACAAAAAAGCCGTAGGTCCCGTAGCTAGGTCTAGCCGGTTGAGACGCACTTGACATGCGCCGCACGACTATATATATATAGGTATACATATACAAACACACTATCAGTCAGATGCCATATATGTATATAAAGTAGCGACACTTTTCTCGAACTCACCCCTGCTCGTAGAACAGTTGAACGTGAATGGTTAGATTTATAAATAAGGAGCCAATCGCTCGATGAAAAGGCTGCATTCCGGAAAAGAAGCCATTAAAAAAAAAACTAAAAATTATTTTGTAAACTTTTAGAGCGTTTTTAATTGACAAAACTAATGAACACTCACAAGTCAGGCACGTTAAAACCATTATATACACTTCTCTAATCTGATTGTAAATTCTAATAATCTGATTGTGGGATTCTCAATTGATAAAATGCCCAATGTGTATTTTATCAAATAGCACAATGAAATTAACTCATTTATATATTTTTATTAAATATACATCATTTACGTTGACTTATGTATATGTACAACGATTTTAAAGTGCACTACTGAGTGCGCACTAGCTCTACTAATGAAAAATACATTAGGCCGGAATCAGACTACGCATTGAAGATTCAGATTGAAGTTTTGACCAATCAAAATAATAGGAGTTAAAATTCTTTTATCCTGATTGATCAAATTTCAGTTTTCAATCTTCAATGCGTAGTCTGATTCCCTTAACTGTTAACAAATGACTGTATGTACATATACATGCAATTGTTATGCGTATGCACCACGCGCGAAATACGAATCTGTACGAATCTACGACGCGTGCGTGTAGTACACGTTTATGAGCTCGCATATCGCGCGCGCTGCTTTAACGGGGATACCGAATGATGTCGCATGATGAAAAGCGAGACCTGGTTCGCGCGGCAACGGTCCAGTCCAGCGCCGGTCTGGCACAATGGCCGCCTGTTTCTCGACCTAGGCGACAGACGTGCACCCGATGACCAAACGACTGCGACGTGTCCGACGGGTGCCACGTAGTTGAGGAAACCGGGACAATCGACGCGAACGACGCGAACGAGACGCGACAGGGATATACTCCGAAGTCCGAACTCGTTGGAATAATTGTTTCCTCTTTTTTTTTCTCGGCTGTTATATGCACCCTCCCTGCACTCTTTTCGCATCGTTTAAAATTCAGAAGGCTAATATTAAACCTGTTTTTTTTTTTTTTTTTTTAGCTTTGTGCTCAATTCGCATATTTCCTCCTTTTCTTTCCACGTTGGAGAATAAATGACGAAGAATAATCTGTTAAAACGTAGACCCATTTCATTTGTCGTACGAAAAAAATTTCAATTATGTCAATTGACTAGAATAAAAAAGTCTCTCGAGTTTCCAAGAATTCTCAATCAATACACTTAGAAATTTGTCGTACGCAAATGAATTATTATTAGCCTAACGTTTATTGCCATCGGGGGTAATTTACTGCCAATCACAGCGACTTCTGCGTAGGGAGTTTTTTTTATCATTTTTTTTCTAGTGCTGCGATTAGCTTGTGTACAATTGGCTCGTGTACAAACTGATGTACATTCATTGCCATCAATGCAGAATAAAGCTCGTTTTTTTTTTTAGTAACTTCTTGCACAGATCATCTTTTTCTTTTTTTTTTCATATTGGAGAAAAAAAAGAAAGATTAACTGTGCTAAAAGCTAATGTTCGTTTCTATTAATGCAGTTTAATTTTAATTTTGGTTTAACTCACTTTTCATAAGAATAAAAGAATTAGTAAAGAGCAAGTTATGTGAATTGAGATTAATCTTTCGTTGATGGAATCGAGTCTAAAAAAAGAAACGAACTTTCATCTTTATTTTAATCTTAGTTTAATTTACTTTTTTTAATATTTCTTTCCAAATTTTCTTAGAACTAGAAAAAGAAAAAAGTAAATTAAGTCCAGATCAAAATTAATCTACATCAGTAGAAATTGTCATAAAAGGGACAACTCCAAGTAGAACATAGAAGTCATATAATATCATAAAAATTAATTTCTAAAAAAATAATGTCTTGTGATACAATATTACTATATGACTTAATTACGATTATAATGTTCTACCTGGAAATCTGAAGAAAATGGTAATTTTTGCGAAAATCAAACGAACGAATGAATGAACGAACAAATTTACATTGCTGTAAGGTTTCGGTACAGGAAGTTCCTCTCGTATAAAATACGCGTGGATATATTTATCGTAAATGGAAATCAATAACTTAATTTCAAACGGTCACGTAAAAGCGACAGATCCTTTAGCGTCAACCCAACATTAATCTATAACTTGTACCTCTGTATTTCTTTATTCGTAAAAGAAGTGAGGAGGCACGATTGTTCCAGAACCGACACTAATATCGCGATCGGACCGATCGTCGTAACTCGTTTCACCGAAAAGTGCAATGTATACGACACTGCCGATGCAGCGAGTGTCACGCGCGTTACTTCTGTTTATATGCAAAACGCACAGCATGTCCAATGCAATTTCGTAATGAGATTATTGATTTTTTTTTAAGAACAGTCCCGCCTGCCCCATCTCGTTCTCTCTCTCTTTCTCTCTCTCTCTTCCTTGCCGCTCGATACGTCTCCGTCCCGCTCCAAACTCCGCAGTTCGGCCGCATATCGCACCGTGCACGACGCACGCGTGCAGCGTCTCGCATAATTGAATACCCTACACTCCCGGACGGTATCGCCCGTCCAGCGGCCGCGTACGCGAAGCTAACCGGCAAATTCTCGGTATAATATCTACATACCTTGGTGATTGTATTGATTTTCCCCGACAGTATGTAAATTAGCGTACGGCGATGTAAGTACGCGCGAGGGAGAAATTCTGCGCAGTTCACGTTTCTGGAGGGAACCACGTGAAACGATTTACGTTTCTATCAATGTAGATTAATTTTAATCTTAGTTCGATTGTTACACTTCATCTCTTCCTAATTCTTAAAATCAGAAAACGAAGAATCGACCTGACAATGAGATTAACATATAGCGAATTCGATCACTTACATTATACAAGATTAACACTAAAAGTTGCTATATGAAAATAGCGAAGTTAAATGCAGAAGCGTATAGATTATTTTGAAGGATTTAAATACTTAATATAATGATACTATTATCAGAATATACGTGGGCAGTTGATAAGTCAGCGACTTTAAAAGGATATATATTGAAAAGTAAGTCGAATTAAAGTAAAAAGAAATCGTCGAGCTGTTCACGTACTAAATGTTAAAAAAAATTGATTACATTATTACTGATACAGATTACTTTGTATAAAGCAATCCTTAATGTAAATTAATTCAGTGCGAGTGATCGAATTCACCGTTGATTACATTTGAAACGGACGTTAATTTCGATAGCCCAGTAAAATGATTTAGTCTTATTAATTTAACAAGAATTTATTGATTTCTTTTTCTTTCCCTAAAATTATGCCATCGATCTAATAGGCTTTTAGATTACCAAAATAGATGTTTACTGAATTTTAATAATACAAATATTTTTATAATTTTGCAGCTCGAATTTCACCCGTAATGTAAAGTTCAAAACATACAAAAGATAGGGATAAATTCAAGGTAAAAAAAATTATTAAGGTATCTATTAAGTACACAATTTATGTCTGCTACCACATTGGTGCCAATCAAGACTGGAAGTTCGGCTTTCCTTCGTAAGTACATCCAGACTTCTGCACGATCTGCGTCGCCGCCCAAATTCCGCATTTTATACACGTGTCTATGCTTTTGTCTTGTATAAGTTGTGCTAGAAAACCTGAAACAATTTCGATATAAAAATTAAACAGAAAAATTAAAAATAAAAGAGACTACATAAAAATTAAGCTTTTAATCAGCTTTCTTTTTATGTAGTCTCTCTTTTATTGTCACTACATTTCAATAACATATGAGAGCGAGCGTGGCAAAGCAGATAGCGTACTTGCTATGCTAAAGATCCCGAGTTCGAGTCCCGGTACAATCAAAATATTTTCATACACTCGTATCTCCTCTCGGAAGGAAACGACGACCCACCGAGAGCAGCAGCAGCTTTGCCAAGAACACTTCTCTAACAAAATTTCATTGTTCAAAATCGACGTTAAATTGTAGATCCCATATGAATGTGTACAATCAGCGTGTGCCACATCACAGGCATATGAAAGAAGTCACTACGCTCAGTCACGAGCAATAGGATTAAGAAAAAGAATCTCAATAAAGTTATCATTATTATATGTATCTCAATAAAATTATTATTTCCGCAAATATTTGTTATTATAGCAGCAACAGATCCAAACTCACCACCGACAAAAGCATCCCCGGCGGCATTGGTATCTATAACTTTCTCCTCTGGCAGTTTTATCACGGGATACTCCGTCACAGTGCCATCCTTGGCTACAAGCACCGCATCAGTACCCTGTGTTATCACGACGACCCTTTTCCTCTTATCATTCACCTTCTCCATTTCCGTTATCTTCAGCGCGATCTGTCTTCTGTCCGTCGCGTTAAGATTGTTGATCTTTGCAAACGTGTCAGCTTCCGTCTCGTTCCCGAATAAGATGTCCACGTAGGGAAACGCCGCTAGCATCGGTTTTTGGAAGTATTCGCATAGAAACGGCGCGCTGAGATTCATCATGAACATTTTATCGTTTTCGTAGGCGTGCTTGGCTACCGTTTGTATGGATTCGGGGCTGACCGTCAAGAAAAATCCCTGACACAGAATAACAAATTTTATAATGTTTTACTGATTCATCATTTCGTAGACTTATTAAGAAACCTTTGCGTTTACCGATATGTAAATGTATTTCGCGATATCTATCAGATGTTTGTTTTCTGACTTTTCGATGTGTGACTGTGAAAAGCAATTTGCCGCTGCTAAATTGGCGCATAGAGAGCGTTCTTTCCCCGTAATGAGCACCGCACATGTCCCAGTTGGTTCCTGATCGGTGTACTGATAACGAACGTTTAAGCCATCTGCTGTTGCCTTATCTTCCAGGATCTTGGAATATTTATCTCTGCCAACGCAGCCCATGTATGTGGCGATTTTCGGTTTTTGCAGGAACCACTGTAATACAAACGTCGATTATTTGTAGTGTGACTTTTGCCATTCTATCAACGTAAATCAATTTTAATTTCGATTTAACTGACTTTTTTTAATCTTTTTTTAATTATAAAAATTAGGAAAACATGACGAGAGTAAATTAAATCAAGGTAAAATTGAAATTATCTACATGAATAAGTTTAAGTTTTCCTTCTTTTATCCAAATAAATATGAGGCGTTTTTTTGTTATGCAACCAAAAGCAACCGCGACTAAGGCTATCTTTGTCTTCTGATCCCTGAAAACAAAGATAGCCTTAATCGCGGTCGCTTTTGGTTGGATAACGAAAAAAATACCTTTGGCAATGTTCTCTAAATTTTTTGGAGTGAAAGCTCACAGAGTAAAAATTGACCTAATCTTTTTCAAGAGTTGCTCAATTTTTAATCTTTAAGAATGAGATTTACACTAAAAAGTTTTAGAGAGTGAATAACGATTTTCTGTGTTGATTCTACTTACTTGTGCTACTCTCATAGTATTTTGCACAGATCCACCCGCAGTAAATTCAGCATTATATAAGTTAATTAGCTCCTCATACAAAGGTTTGTGCTTTTCTTCGGCGAGAATGGCGTTGTTGGACTTCAGATTATATTTTTGCAACAAGTTATGATCTACGTATGCTGAAATATCCAACAGGGGATTTCCCATGCCCAGCAGCAATCCTTCTCTAAAATGTTCGATAAAATTTTTCATACAATTTTTATTTAATCTATAACATATGCTCATTTCTGCCAATGTTGTTTAATTTTAATTTCAGTTAAACTAATTCTGTATTTTTTCTGATTCTAAGAGAATTATGTTTATTTCTACAAATATACATATATCTATAATTAACTTTAATCTCGGTTTAATTTATTCAACTTTATCTGTTTCTAATTTTTAAAAACAGAAAAAGATGTAATGTAAATTAAACTAAGATTAAAATTAATCTACATTGGTAGAAATAGGCATTAGAATAAGAGTAAATTGTGTGAACAAAGATTAAAGTTAATCTACATTCATTAGTAGAAACGAGCATGTTTTTTAAAAAAAGCAATCCTAGGTATTTTGCAAAATTTCATAGATAAAACTTAATTTTCTAAAGAAGGACAATGAGAATAATGAGCAATTATTCTCATTATTTATCTTCGAGTCAGCTCGATAAGAGAATCATCGGGCGGGTTGATAAGAAAAGCGATATTATTGAGAAAATAATAAAAACGCATACGGCAATTTCATTCATATTGTAACGCCATTTTGAAGCAGCAGTATCGAATCAACTCTGTGACGAAATCGCGCCGATGAGAATTGACCTTGACGATTACATAACCTGTATCTTTCCTCTTGCCAGACGCGATTAAAATCTCACTACGAATCTGATGTTGTTAATTGTCCGTACAATTTGCATTATTGAAACAAAAATCATAACACATGCATAATTTTTTGCAAACAATCCTTTCTTTTCGACAGCGAACTGATTGTCACCGACGGTCGCCGGGAGTACATACATGTGGCATGTTAACCTTGTCGTGTAATAAATCTCAACTTGTAACCTCCAAAGAAACGGTAGAAACGCGTCTAGTTTGTTCAATAAAAGTTTCACGAGATAGGAAAAAAAATTCAAAATCACGAAAAAATAAATATTCCACTTACCGTAAGTCTTCGGCCATTTCCACAAGATTATAGTTATTGAGAGATTAAGGAAATGTGCACGCTAAGGATAGAATGGTCTGCTACGATCGCAAGGCGCGCCACCGACGCCTTCAGCTCACCGCTGTACCGCTTCTCGTACGTGAAAACGCAAAGTATCCAATGGTATCGGCTGTCCGCAGCCGTTATTGAAGAAGTCGCTCTAACTCGGAATAATTATTATCTCTATGTCGTAGCAGTGATTTACTGAGGGAAGGGATAAAAGAACCATCCAAGAATCGTGTAATGAGATCATACTAAACAAGCCTATGCAAATTCATTGCAATTAAACATTTTTTTTTTTTTAATTCTAGATGTAACATTTGTAAATATGTAAATCGCTTGAATCACTCCATAATCTGAACGACATTCTTTTGTATTCTACATTCGAATTCTAAGGAACATACTAAATCAAGAAAAAGGCGAAATGGTTTCATTATACTATCATGAAAGTCAAAATTATTTTTTATTACAAAATTTGACGTTCGAAGTCGAAGTAATCATTATGATTTTTTGTTGCATCTCATGTTCCTTGAGATGTATTATCTGAATTTATCTCAGGAGAGTGAAATAACTGTCAGTTTTATCAGTAGTGTAACTTTAATCTCGGTTTTCCTCCTGACTTACTCTTCATCTTTTTCCAATTCTTAGAAACTAGAACTAAAAATTAAACTCTTACGAGCTAGAAAAAGATGAAGATCGAGTTAGTTCAACCAAGAATAAAATTAAACATTGATTGACAGAAACAGCCGAGAATAGTATGAGATAAGGTTTAACGATTTTTTATTACTATATGCGATAAGTTTTATCTCAATCATGATTTGTAAAAACGCAAACTGGCAGAAGAGAAATAGAGAAGTTTAAACGTGTAAGATAATTTATTCCAGTGATATGTTGATGTGATTAAATTTTTGTTGACTTTTTTTACGTCGAAATATAAAATGCGTGTAAAAGAAATTAGTCTTATAATGTTCGCAATAGCTTTAACCTGTTAACGAGACAGTCAACGAATTCTGAAGATGAAAGACAAAGATCTTTATTGCTCAATTACACGCTGAATATTCTCGTTAGTCGACTTGGAAAGTTTTGGATGGAGCGACGACATTCTGTAACATATATTTCACACGAGGCTTTACTTACGGCGCTATTTTAACTCTTCGCGATGATCCGTTGGGATTGAATAATACGATAGTAAGCTAGCTTTGTCTTATCTGCGAAATTTTACTTACCATTACGCATTTACATCTAAATATACCTTACATTTATTAACAATAGAATAGCACAAAAGTAAGATTTCTTACTAAATATTGGATTATAATATCAAGAGCGGAAAATTAGGTATATAAATTTTTTTATTTTGTATTATAATTGAAATAGCATATGTATAATTCTTCTACATGTCACTACTTGTACTTGATAGTACCTTGATAGTATCGATAAAAAATATATAAAGTTTTTCGTCAATTAATAAACAAATCTTCAAATATATGATTATAGAGATTCAATTATATATGGTAAGTCGTAAGTATATTTACGATTTTGTAATTGTCTTTCTTTTTGTTTAGGGACACACAAAAATTTTTAAAACATACTTATGATTTATCTTTTATATTATTTATTAGAGTAATAAAAATGAAATGTTCGGTATAGCTTACCAATGTGCACTATTGAATGTAAGTAGCAGTATGTTGAAAGAACGAATCATTTCGTCGCATAAAAAAATGACGATTATGTAATATATAAAAAAAATTTATATTATTTCTCGCTTCTGATCATATCATAATCAAACTTAATTGCATTAAAAGATATAGTGTCTTAAAAACCGTAAATTAATGACAGTAGAATCGCTATAATCTGAATTAAACTTATAATTAATTTTAAATAACAAAAACTCCTGTATAAATCAAATACACACTCGGAGAAAAAAAGGCACTAGGAGTCAAGCGCAGATAACTTTGCGCAAACGCTGATATATATCAAACAAAACTTTTTTTATTAAATTAATTATGCTAATTATTATAATAAAAAAGTTTTGTTTGATATATATCAGTATTTGCGTAAAGTTATCTGCGCTTGACTCCTAGTGTCTGTTTCTCTCTGAGTATTTAAATTAAATTTCTAATAATCTGATGCAACAGTCATGAAAAATGAACTATACGAAAAATATAAAATCGCTTCCGCATGAGAGTTGAGGCAAATACGATCAATATTGCTGCAAATATTATACTATCGTTAGGATTATCTGAAATCGAAAGTGTCTGATATCTCTCGAGATTTTACCCAGTTGACACCAATTAAAAGTAACATCTTTATTATAATTTCGCATTCAACAATCTAACTGTTACGTAACACACATTATGTGTTATACAAGTTGTTATATTTATATTGTTGAGTGTGAAATTATAACATACAGGGTGGCCTCCATAGAAAGGAGTTTCGACACGTTCCCACGGAACACCTTGTAGATATTTTTGTTACTTTTAGGGGCCTATTCTGTGACTCTTAACGATTGTAACTGTAATGTTACAGTGTCGTTACGCTGATTTTGTACATAGTAAAAAAAAAAGCTGTGCAACGATACTGTAATGTTATAATTATTAAGAGTTACAGAATAGGTCTCAAATTTGGTGTCAAATGGGAGGGATCACAGCGCGGGGAAAGTATTCGTTCTTACGATACCTTCATGGTCCCGTCGAGCGGAGACTCGAGAATCCGCTCTAGGACGAGATTCGGCGTGTGTAAGCACATGTCGATCTCACAGTTTTGTCCGGCACACCCTAAAGAAGAAGATTCCTCTCGTAGAGATGGGCTCTCCCTTAAGAAGCGCCGCTTTTCCTAAGAAAGAAAACAGGATTCTCAAAGGCGTTCGGGTGGAACTCGCGGGATGAATTAACGTGTCGTTTTCTCTTTTCTTTACATTACTTTTATTCATTTTCTTTCGCGTGTCGGAACAATATTGAGAGGCTGGATCCGCGTCTTGAATGCGGTAGCACAATCCCGTGTCTCTATTAAAGTATACATCTCTCCTTCGCACTCTCCCCCGCTCTCTCTCTCGACGTAGTATACGAGTGCTGTGATGAACAATTACCTCTCGCTACACCATGTCGCTCCTCCACCAGACCTCTCGCGTCGCTTCTACTTGAAACCCTCTCGTCTCTCGAGCCTGGCACGCTCGCTCCTTCAAGGGTACATCCTTCATGGACGATGTTGGCGTAGAGGGCTATCACGTCCTATATCACACATCATATTACAATACAGCGTGTTACAATCCTGCTGTCGCGTTTCTATCGGTTTTGCGCTTTTTTCCGTTAATGCGGCAACCGACGATGACCGACACGTGTGTGTTCGTTTTCTATCACGCGAGATCAAGGGGTAACTCGTGTCCCGACGACGTGCGTCCGGTTTTTTTTTTCCGTTATACACATGTACACATGTTTTTCTTGCCGACCGTGTCTCTCAAAAATCCGGTATACGGATCCGATCGGCGATTCACGATCTCCACGTGCCTCTAGTGAGAACTCTGCCGAGAGGGACTGGGTACATTTTTTTTTTGTTTAAATCTTTTTAAGCGCCTGTGAGGGTCTGGGCCGGCGCGTGTCCGGAAATGTAGCTCAGCGATCTTAGCTACAGACTGGACTCGGAACTTGTCATCTCGTTGAACTTCTCGGCGGCCAGAGCGTGTGTCCCGAACCGTTTTGCAACTCGGGCTGCGTGACTTTATTAGACGACGTTGACGGCGGCGGCGACGGCGACGACGACGACGACGGCAGCGTCGACTGCGACGAGGGCGGCGACGAAGCTGACGACGACGGCGATGTGACGGCGATGTGACGACGAAGAAGGCGGCGGCGGCGGCGGCGGCGACGAGCCGGAATCTCGCACGTCCACGTATGGGCTACGAGAGCGAAGCTGCCGACCCATCGGGCAGACCTTCGCTATCCGACGACTATCCGGCGGCACCGACATTACCGTAATCCTCGAGGGAGTGTATACTTGCATTACAGCGATACATCGCGTATCGAATATATCCGACGAAGCTCCCCGGTGTGACGGCTCCATGCTTTCCGAGTCTTTTTTCCCGCACGCGTGTGCTATACGCGCGCGACTCGGTATCGCAGATTTTCTTTTTCCCCGCGTACCCGCATCAACGAGCCTCGAGCTTCGTCAAGTACGTCAAGCATACGTATCGCGGGTCGGGGGTTCACACCTAAGTGAGTAGCTAGTTGCAAAAAGGGATAAATATATGCGCCAAAAATATAAAAACAAAAGAAAGGAATAGACTTTAATTTGTAATAAGACTGTCTCAAAACCAGTTATAGGAGAGCGTTATTTGATACTAATATATGTGAACTTAAATATCTTCAATAATCCCTCAGACTTAAAAACCACTGACATGTAATATTGGACAAAGCATAGCATCAAAACCATCTCGACAGATCTAGAAAAAGATGGAACAATGTATGGGTAGAATACACTACTGTTCTTTTTTCCTGAAACAAAATATGATCAATAAGACAATAGTAAAAAGTTTTATGTCCATATATTTACCTTTTTCTTAGGTGCGTCAAGATGAAAGAATAAAGAGATCTCACCACATACTCCGTCCAGTACTATATGTCGATGAAATTAACGTCTCGAGCCAAAGATATATTAATTTTCTTAAGTTTTTAAAAAACAAATAGACTGGACTTTTCGACTAAGCTTTACTGGATGTCTATTGATTCTGAGACATCTTGTATAAGTTTTTGTCGACGATCATGCGCCGAGGTCTCTCGAAGCCAAAGTTAACGAGCGCAGACGCACTTGTTATGCACCGATCAAACTCCTCCAGATTCGAAATAGTATTATACGGACAACAGTTTGCTCACCACATCTCATTGTCAGTATGGAGAGATGATTGAGTAGTATACTTAGTTCTACACGTTCGTGTTCCAAAGTCACTCTGAGAGAGACTCGCTCGGTTATCACCGAGAACATTGCACAATGTTCTCTTAAAGTAACTTTGGGGAGGAGTGATAGTGTATAAGTTACAGATCATGGCCGGTCGCCTTTGTCTTGCTGTTGGTAGTAGGATGGAAAAGCGATCTTCAGTCAAATCCGATTTTGTTGATCTGCTCAACCTCCGAGTCTGCAAGTTTGACTGGCACATAACAATGAGTATTACCATAACATAAAATCGAGTTAAAATATACAAAAAAAAAAAGAGTAATATTTACTCCCTCGTCTATTTCCGTGTCCACTTGGTACAGCTTTAACTTTGGCTTTGATCGGAAATTTATATAAATGAACGATAATCGCACTACTAAAGATGTGAATGCGGCGAAAGGATTGCAAATCTTTCCTCTGTGCTTATGGAATAGGAACAACAGATTAACCGAGAAGAGGAAGAACTCATGAAAGTCGTATCAATTGATACTGTAAATACATATACAATATTTATAATTAGGTAATAAATATATTTGAATGTGTAAACAACTGAGTTTAAGGATAAGAAAATTGTTCTTCTTCTTCTTCTCAGTTCGAGTTTTAATCTACAAATGATACAATCGGTTTCGACAAATAAACTCAGCCTAGTTTGAGAGAGCCAGCTAGAAGAAGGGTTGAATTCTCAATCATAATTTAAGGAGACGTCGTTCGCACGTGTTTTAATATTTATTACAAAATAAAAACTTGCAAAAACACACGTGTGTCACGTACAAAAAATGTACAAAACAAGTACTCCTTTCGTACTGTTACTAACGCGAGAAGGGTACGTAGCAGGCTTATATCGGAATTCGATATTATTTCCCAGTGTCCCCCTTGTTTTAACACATAGAAGGATAATTAGTATTCCACATCCGTGTATGCATGATGAAGCGACTTATTCGCGCTATATGCTAGCTCGTGCGCGACCATCTCATCCGCAGTGCCAATTGTTCTGAAAACATCAGTCATACAAGGAACGATTTCACTTAGTGTTCGACGGATCTCGCTTAATGGCCCTTAATTCTTTAAGACAGTACAGAGATAGAGGAATCAGAGATCAAAGCTGTTATAATCTCTAGATTTCAACTTTCAATGCCATAGGTACATTCAAATAAATTTGTTAACAGCTACAAAATAGTAATTAAAATAATTTCAATCATACGTTCAATTAATATAATCAAAAATAACTTTATCGCTTTAAATATTTAGTAATTATCAAACGGTTGGTTATATTTTTGTTTGGTAATGCTTATTTAAGTATTTAGAAAATTAAAATTATTTTTTATAATATTAACTAAACATTTAATTGAAATTATTTCACTCAACATTTGGTGCCTATTATCAGATTTTTTTTTAAGGGAAAAGATCGTACAATTGCTGTTCCTAATATCTACATTCTACAGCATCAAAACTTGAGCTTTACAGAACTATAACCTTCTGCAATCCCTGCTTTCGACTACTGAGACTGAAACAAGTAATTACAGAAGAGAAAAGAGAGAAGCAGACACATATCGGTAGAGATACGCTTAAAGTATGATCGTCTTTAAAACGAAGGGAATCGACATTGTATCAGTTCGAATAGAGCGCTTAATATTTGATACAAATATAATAGTAGTCCGCGAAATAACAAGTAGATGACACAGATTGTATAAAGATTCTTTGAAGAACTTCATAGAAATCATAAAACTCTCCCTGTACTTTCAAATTGATTTCTTTACTTTAAGATGATCAAGATATAAGGAAATGACAACATTGATGAATTCAAAAGCTCCTTTATTTTGTTGGTTCAAAGCAACACGTGAGATGCATAAAGAAATATTATTTGGACTAGATAAAATGTTATAGAACCGGATAAGCTTTTTATTATAGATAAGCCAACTTGAGACCTAAGTTGTTTTGAATAAGACAAAAATTACAATAATTTAATAAAAGAATTTCGAAAGTGTAAGTAATCAATCTAATAACAAAAAATTTGATTTTCCCAAATTTTATAGGAATTTTATAGATATTCAATTCACACAAAATATGAATATAATACCACTTATAAAATTTTCACTACTTAAAATTATTCTCAATTTTGTCATGAGATTCGTGTGGATATCTAATGATTCCAAAACATCCTATATTTATGTACGAATAAAATTATTTCGTCATCGGGCATGCATCGCGCGACTAATTTAAATTTCCCATTGACGGTCGATTGTTACGAAGAAACCATGAAATCTGGAAATAATCAACGACACGATCAATATACGATTGCCTGCCCAACGAACGCGAAAATATTACACTGTATTGCATCATATGTTGCCTCTCGTTCCTACTTTCCCCACTTTATTGGAACTAAAATGTAGAAAAATAGGTGAGGCTTCGAGAGGAATTCGTTTTAGTATAGAACTGAGAGAAAAAATAATAATCGAGACTGTACACGTGAACGTGAAATAGACCTCGATACATTATGAAGAGACTAATTTCCAATGATATTGACGGTATAATGCAAAAACCAAGATGTCTATTCTAAATATTAATCATATATACAATTACAATCAAATTACATATTTAATTATGGTTGCCTAAAAAATAATTTGATTAAACGTAATTTTGGCTATGTAATTGATGACAAACTCGTCATTTTAATTGCTTCCTGATATACCAAATTATTGGACGGTCCGATCATTAGACTAAATTCCAAATATCGCTCAATATCATTAATTCATGTAGATTGCACTGTATTGCAATTAAAGAAAAATTTAAGAAAATAGAAGTAGTTAGAGTTGCTCGACGGAGGAAACATCGCAGAACTTCTACCTGTGGATCGACAATCAGACTTGTGAAGGGTGGCACAAGGATGGCAGCAAAGATAGACAGAGTAACATGAGCGAACACGTCGCGCGCGTTTTGGAACGAGATTTTGACGGGGAATTTCATTCCTTTTTTTTTTATTTTATTGAGCTAATGCGAGGCAGAAACGCGCGCACGACGCGCAGGAAGCCAGCGAAGGAAGCGCGTGTCCGATCGTACCCGATCAAGATTTTCGTGGTGCGACAAGGGAAGGATTTGGGGTGGTTTCCTGGATGGTTGTTGCTGGCAAAGGGTACACCGCGAGAGAGAGAGAGAAAGAGAAAGCAGTCGGTGTGATATAATTAAAGAAACACGCAGTACACGTCGTTTTTTTCTTGTGAATTTCACAAATACATATTATTACATTTCTCTTATATTCAGTATCATTAGCAATATATCGTGTGGTTATAATTTATCATAATCTTTAAGAAAAAAAAACACGGTCGGTTCTCAGCAAAAAACAAAAAGCGTAGACGGGAGAAAAAAGCTTACAGCAAGTCTCTACGCTTGAACAAAACGAAAGTGCGATTATTACAGACTACAGCTCGTCTTTCTTTTTTACGTCAGAGTTAATCCTACGTTAATAAAAAGATTACGTTACTATACGCTAAGAATAATGTTCCGCCACTTAGGTTTCCATACAGAATCGGCGCATCCTACCGGGTCTAAGTCCAATTATAACTTTTTTTTTTCTTTATATAGCGAAGAAAACAGCGTTATGAAAACAGGTTCTCTGAATGGTCAGACCCGTACGCTACCCCCCTTTGGGGAAATATTTCGGCAAACGCTTATCTTTTCTTCCCTCCTTAAACACGGTCTACGTCTTCTTGTATTTTCAAGAATACGCTAAAATCGCAAGAGAAAAAAGTCCAATTTACATCTCTATAAATTATATATGAAAAAATAATAAAATGCTCCTCAATGTGACGAATTCTATCATTTTGGAAGATGAGGCATGAATCTCAACTTTAATACTTTAAAATCACTTCTAAAATTCAACAGTGATTAGATGAGACTTTTCTCTTTATCTCCGTTTCATAAACCGTGCTACAGTTTTCGTCGATCGACCTACATTGATAAAATCTAAAAGAGAAATTAAAGAGCTTAAAGAGGTGACCAATCGATAAAACAATTTCTAACGCAAGCAAAGCAGCGATACATACCCATCATTCCTAATATAATTAAGTCTTATTATTTTATTTTCCTGCGATGTATCGCGCTCCATGAGAATTTCCTTTTCGTACGTGTATATATATATATATATTCACACATATACACCACACGACGTATTATTTTTAGTAAACAATTTTGTAAAAAAAATGCAAATTAAATTTACAGTTTTTAGCGTATTTGTGAAGGTGTCGCGAGAAGATGCAGGCCGCGCTAAGTGTGTACAAACGCACATGCACAAAGCGATCTTAATTTTTTTTTTAAGGGACCAACCGCGAGTACCGCTCCTAAATCGTACGAATGCTCGCGATAGTGAATCTCGCATCCGTCTGACGCATTGAATAAAATCGGCGAACATCGCTGTTTGGATTCTATCTACTTGTTCAGTCTATCTCTAACGCGCGATGATATCCACGTGCGACGCAGTGTGAGAAATTGACAATCGACAATAGTGGATCACGAGTGTTCAAATGTGTAGAGAATTACAGTGATATCACGCAGTACCTTCGCTAAGCGGTTGTTATCTCGTCTAGCGGTCCCCGCGGAAAGGTGCGTAACGCGGATAACTACGGAATCTATCAATTATTACGCAATGAAGATGGATGTGTCACCGTCACAGAAAACCCGAAAACAATTGGCGGATTCGACCGCTACGAAATACGGCTCCACTGCAAAACTTTCGTTAATCCTACATTTTTCAATTTTTTTAAAACAAGTTTGAAGTCATATCTAAGTCAAATCGCAAGAGTTATAATTGAGCTATGGGTTCAATTCCTAAACGAGTAAGACATTTTGAGAAAGAAAGCTTTCTGTTCGAGGATTGAGAAGTGTCCACAATGAAACCGTATCCCTTTCTTGACACGTCGAAGATACCTGATTTTATACAAATGTATGAGGGAGGGGTGCGAAAGTGGTCACAGTAGACAACAAGAGATACGAAAGGATCGACAAGCCGGGAGTCTCAGGAAAGATTCGTCGGATTGGGAATGATAATTTTCCATAACTTTTTGCATGTCTGTGCTATTTTCGGCTGGCTATATTTCGGTTTTTTTTCCGTCTAAATAGATCGCACTGCGGGTAGAGCACTTGTTTCTCATAGAGCGGGCGGCAGATCTTCACGCGTGCAGTTCGCAAGACGGCCAAGAGTATCTCGGTTCCGAGGCTTCCTGCTAGCGACAGACAGACCCGACGGACCGACGACCGACAGAGACCGATCCGAGCCCGACGCGACGATTTAGTATGGTGCGAACCGGCGCGACGGCGATGGCCCTCGTAATCCCGGTCTGGTAACCAAAATTATGTCACGTCAGTCGACGAGATCGATGATGCGGATCAAAACACGGATAGATATAGATAAATGTTAAAGATAATACATTTGCGTGTATATAAAAAAAAAAAAGAAACAGAAGACAGAAATAGTAGAGTAATAGAGCACGTACGTAGAGTGAAATATCGTAAATAGTAGTAAGAAAGAAAAAAAAAAAAAATAGAAAAAAAAATAAAGAAAGAAAAGGGGAACGGAACAGCTCGGATAATACCTCGTTTTTCTCGCTAAACTTCTTTTTATACTAATTCTTTTGTTTTACGATAATAGGAATATTCGCGCTACTTGCAAAACTTTCTTTATCCGAGCACTCTTCTTTATGAAAGATCGCGTTTTGAAATATCTTATAATTCTGGTTTCCAATGGAACAAACTAGAACATTCCAGAATGTACTTTCGATCATTGCTATTAAATGGTCTACACAAAAATTCCTACTCACTAATCACAATTCAATACGAAATAAAATAATGCGTTTCAAATTAATAATACCAAAAATCTACAGCTCATTTTTATATGCTATAGATTTTCACTCATTTCAGATAAAAATGAATATCTAATAAGTACTCAATTTTAAACAAAAATGTTGCTTGGCACGATCGTGACATAAAGAAGAAGGCGACTTAATACTGTTTCTAAATTTCGCGACATGTGAGGATTTCAATTTGGTAAAATTATGATCCCAGGCACTTCACTCTACTTACCTACGCTCTTCAAACGAATCTCGGCTGAAGTCCTCGTACATGCCTCTACTATAACAGCGGTATAATAAATAATCGAATCTACCAATGAGATCAGATCAACATATACCATATACTGGCTCCCTTGTCCAAGGCTTAACTTTGTGAATTAGTCCCTGTATATACATAGATTCACGTGCAAGATTCGCGTGCCTCGCCTAATATGACTTAGGATCGGGACGGAATGTTTTGTGCCTATTGTTACCTCAAAGTAAAAATCAGGACAAAAACATAGTAGATAGGATATAATACGCAGATCATAGAATAATGAAATTACAGTAAAATTTCCTATTATTCCATTACATACAAACACACACGCGTGCACATATGTGCGCGCGCACGTGTAGGCGTATGTACAAAGGAAAATATTTGATCTTCTGTCAAATGGATTTGACAAACCTTTGATGATGCACGATTAATAATCGTTCGCAGACTCGAGCGCAGAAACGCAATGGAGATGATTAACAACTACAAAAATCTACGACAGCGAAGTGCACACAACTATCTGTACTAATTCGCTATCTGCACAACTCGATCGTGAGAGTGAAGGGCCGGCCAGGAGAATGTAGGATGTAGCTAGTCATATGAGGCAGGCAGCGGTAGACTGGATTTTTAACCCATGCGACTTGTCAATATTACAGCTTCTCGCAAAAAAAACCAACAAGAATATTATCATAAAAAATAAGAGCCATTTGCAGCCCAGGCTGGGATAGTATGGGGTAATGAGGTGGTAACGTGCAACAACAAATTTAAAGTATTTAGAAAAACTGAGAAATTCAATCAATTCTGTTTTCTATTTGAACGTTTTGCGAATGGATTTACATACATGAAAAGCTTTGAACCTCGTGAGTAGAAGTCAACTTCAAGAGCTATGGATACTAATTTTGAAAAGTACATGGACAAACTGACAATTTCTACGCGAAGTTTCGATTCGACCGAATGCAAGATAATTTTTGCGTGTGTTTTTTATACAAAACTTTAAGCATTTAAATTAATGTATTTACTAAAATTGAAATTACTAAAATTGAAAATTCAATTAAAATTTTATCTAATTTATCTAATTTTATATAAACTTACAGTAATTGATTATTTAACAAAATGGGAAAAATTATTATACAAACTAACAAGTAAAAAGCAATTTGCATAGTCAACAAGAAATTCAATCTTACATTACAACTTCAAAATATATACCGCATAAGGAAAAAAATATACTTTTACCGATAGTACAAAAAAGAAGAGAGAAAGAAAAATATCCTATTCTCAAGATTCGCTCAATTTTAAACTGTCATTGATATAACATTTTATTAAATTTGTTACGTCAGTATTTTTCACCATTGAAGAGATAATACATACGATATTTAGTTAATGGAAAAAAAAAATACTTGTACATTACAAATTTAATTTAATTAGATTCAATCGAATCGATGTTACAAGTTTATGTTCGTAAGTTTGTGAAACTTGGAAAGATTACGGAAGATACCGATATAAACTTACTGATCCAAATCGTCTGGAGAGCTGGTTTCTACTTACGACACGTTTCAAAGACAATCGATTCGATGCGTCATTCCAAAATCGCGCCAGCCCTGTTTTTCTTTCTTTTCTCTATCTACAGCGTACGAGTTTTGTTTAAAATTGCAGAGCGCATCCTGGCTCGCGGTAGTGCGATCAAGAAATTCTAATTCGCATTCCTTAGGTACGCTTCTTCATCCCAGGCCTCCGCGCCACTCCCGGCTGAGTGATGTACGTAATAGGGAGCGCTTGAAACACAAAGGATTCAGTGAGAGACATACAGGCCAATTTCGCAGTTAATGCCATGGATCAAGAGAGTCTATGAACTAGGACATCCCTAGAAGAGCAGTCGACATGTTCAAGGAACAATCAGTCGAGACCCGGAAAAAAATTCAAACACCATGGGACGCAGACGACGTAGGCGGCTGCTATTGTATTTCTGACGCGGGTTGTTGCAGCGACAAGAACGAGGCGTGACTACTCGCTAACAAAATGAGTCAAAGACTTACTCTTGTACGACTTGAACGCTGACCCGGGACTGTCTCTCTAGGGTTGCCCGCGTTCATGGACAAAGATGGTACGCCTGAGGTGCACTGAAATTTAGAATGTACAGAAACGTCCAAGCGTCATATAATTAACATTTCACTACGACGGAGTCTGCACTCATGTGGGCATCGGGTCGACACTGGTACGTGTGTGTGTAAAAGTATTAAAAGTCTTAAAATCTCAAGTACGAGAAAGTAATATTTGCATAGACGATAACGATCATGCGTTGTGCCGCGCGATAACAATTGTCAGAGAGAAGGAGTTCCGTTTAATACGACGATAGAAAAGTAAGAAGAGACAGAAGGAAGAGATAAAAAGAGTGGCAGTACACTTAACAAAAAACGTCGATAAGGACGACAGAGGTTTATAATGAAGTAGACATGAAGTGAACATTGTAAGACTCGCGATCGCTTGTCCATAACTTAACATTCGCTTATTTGTGGGAATAAAACAAAAAAATAAGGACATATATACTGTAAGGAGATACAAGCTGAAATCTATATGATAACAGAAAGAAAAATGTGCAACAGAGACTAGAAAAAATGTCGACGAATCACCGAAACCCCAATTCGCATGAGCTGTTAATCCAGCCTGGAACGTTCACAATGTTAAGTCGGACGAATGGGCAGTCGGTACGCCGGGTACCTACTCACCTGAACCGGCCGTTGTTGCCACTTGGAGGGGGTGATCGGCGGCTGAACATTCCGTACTCGTTTCCACGGGAGAAGCCAGTGTCACGCATGGATCCCATACCTAGAGGAGGCATAGGAGGCATTGGGTCTCGTCTTGGTGGTAGAGGTGGCATTGTCATTGGTGGAAAGTCTAGCCCGCACATGGTAGAACCCATGTCACTGGGCCCTGTCATACCCGTAAACCGCCTCTCGTAGAGATCCCTGGTGTCCTCGAAGCCGCGCCTGTCGTAGTAGCTTTCATAATCCTATTAGAGACAGAAAAGAATTAATACATGATTTCTCATACGCAATCACTGCTATCTATCGATGATTCAAATGTTTACACACATTCACATGATAAAAGCAAACTTACCCCAAAGCGGCCACCACCCATGAGCCGGTCCCGTAGGAACGGTGGTGGCGGCGGTGGAGGATATGGATCGCGTCCAAACATTCGGTCCCTGTATCCGTTTCTATCTGGTCCACCTCCCATCCCGCCCTTGGGACATTCCTTCGACCAGTGACCGCCTCGTCCGCATCGGTAGCATTGTTCCGGATCCCCCATGCCTGGCCTCTGTCGTACTCGACTAGTAGATATCTGGACCTTCATCGGTTGTCCATCGACGATCTGTCCATTCAGCTCCTTGATAGCATCGTTCACGTCGCCAGTTGCCTCCAGATGTACGAAACCATAGTTTCTCACGATATCGCATTCAACGACGGTGCCATACTTGGCGAACAGTTCGCGAACCTGCGGCGCCTTAGTGTTATCTGTAAGATTGCCCACGAAAATCTTCGTCGTGGGAGTGTTGGGTCCCTTGCGACTCTTTGCAGCTTCACATTTTATCGGCTGACCATGAACCATGTGTCCATTCAAATTTTGTATCGCATTTCGACCCGCTTCTTCGTTTTCCATATGCTGTGTAAATAAAATATGTCACTCTGTATTATCAATTATTTATCCTGATAATCGTATCATCACCTGATCGTAATGATTCAAGTACACTGATTAAACTGATACAAACACTTACCACGAAGCCATAATTCTTTACCACGTCGCATTCCACGACTTTTCCATACTTCTCGAACAGTGGCTTTATGTCCGCGTTCGAGGTCTTATCGGCTAAATTACCAATGAAGATTTTAAACGTGCCAACGCTGCTAAAACCCGGCATTTTGCGGCTCGTACAAGAACCTAATGTCACAAATATGTATATGTAAGAACAAAAATACATCTTTTTATTTCTTTCCATGCAGCTTAATATTTTTATAACTATAATTAGGCTTAAAATTATGTTGCATTTTTATTTTCCTTTTTATACATTTAACAGAATGTTCAAACCAAAACTCAAAATTTGTTTACGATGACATCAATGTAAAATAATTAACTATTAGGCTTAATAAATTGCATTACTTCGAAGATAACAATTTTTCGCGATAAGAATTTTAAATACATATAAAGTACAATATCAAATATTTATCTGCACCATTGTGTTCTTGATACATCTCTAGCGACGCTAATCCATTTAGCGTACTCATCCCCGCCATTTCATTCCGCCATAGAACTCGACCGGGAGTTTAGATACCCGCGCCGCATAGCGTTGCGTCGCTAAAGTGAGGCAATGGAAGCCGGATAATACCGGCGGATGTGGATTTCGATGCTACGAATCTGATCCTCGTACAATAGATATTTACAAACATCCGCGAAGAAAAATACATCATTTCTAACCAACTTCTACGTCAACTTCAACACAAATCACGCCAGAACTGGGGGCTGTGTGCGGAAATATCACCCAGATTTCCCCGAGTATTATTATCTTATTCTTGTTGTTCGTTCAATGTTAAATAAGGATAAGACGATACACAGGTGATATTTTTGAATGCAACCTGGGTGATCTTGACGGTTATTTAATTTCAAGGTTACCCAAAACGTTAAGACCAGTTTAATCGTTATTTCTCAAAATAGCAGCACGTTCTACAATGTTCGTAATATTGGAGCAACCGTCTCTTTCAACCGATCGCGCAATCTCGCGAGACCGGTGCCTTTCCCGGCGGTCGCTCGAAAGAAAGGAAATCAGAATGACGCGATTGTTTGACTTCGATTTCAACGCCTTTCCTCCATCTTGCTCACGATCCCCCGACTTAATTTACACGTAGCCCACGCGCGCGCGACATTCCCACGGTTTCGACGCACATGCCCTGTGACTTCGGAGAATTTAAGCTCATTCACAGCTACGTTGTAAAAGGACGTTGTCGTGGGAAACGCGACGACAGAAAGATCACGACGGTCTCTCGTCGACGCGAAAGTACGTACCTGCGTCGAATGCTCTTCACGATATCGTATCTGCGTACGAACGATATTTCACGGAAAGAATCCGCGTGGAGCTCACAACACAATTGGATCGTACGCGACTCGTCAGATATGACGGAACCCAAGAATCGAACAATGCTGATTCACGCACTGTGAAACGACAAGCTCCAAGACTGTCCAAGACGCCGCGCACACCAGCGAAATGCAACGGTAGTAATGGCGTCCCGCCGCTTGCCGCGTCGTCCGTCTGAACTCGGCACTAGTGCGTTCCAGAACCTATCGCGCGCTCGCCGGCGACGCGAAGATAGGCGTAAACGGAGTGGAGCGAGCCAATAGCGAGCGGCACCGGTCGACGTAGGACGAAGCCGTACGAGCCAATAGCGAGCGATGCCGGTCGAGCGCGGGAGAATTCCAACTGCACGAATCAATTTAATCAGAAGCATCGAGCTACATTTGCGATCCTTGTATACGGAGCAGGAAGAGCGCATACATCCCGCTTCCCGCGATTCCCTACGCGTTACCTTCTTCCGTTGACCGATTTATTCGATCTCTCTAATATTGTGAGATTGTAAAAATTTTAATAATAAATCTAAATCTGTGTGTGTTGTAAAAAGTACAATAAGTACAATGCGACTTCTATGATGATAAAACGTGTTATAAAGTTTTAACAAGAAATTTTTTTTTCAGACTTTCATGTTATGCAAAACAACAAAAAAATTTACTTTGCTTATGGAAGACCCCTATTGCTGACGGAAGAATTAAAATTCATGTTGCAGGGTTAATTAACAAAGCGGCGAGTTGTCCGTTCCTTCTGTTACCTTACTGGAAAATCAATAATCGAGTGAATGACTCATCGTGTTTTTTTGGCTGGCTTCATGAAAATTCGACATTAAGGAGGCGAATAAAGCGCACCGTCATAATCTGACGTTATTTCTAAAAATACTGCGCGAAAGTATTATCGTTGAATACACCGAACACTGCATGTAATCCTATAAACATGTATCAAATTGAATGAATCATAATAAAACATTTCATTATAATTTAATAAGTATTTCATAATAATAAGTTCTCAATATTTTTGTGTGGTGACACAAAAAACTAGGAGTAGTATTTCTAAAAATACCGCGTCCAAAAATTATTGTAATCGAATGCATCGAAAGTTACACAGTAAAAATAATACGTCGAATTTAACATAACTGCATGTCCCAAACAGTCCACTCAAATTTTTGGGTTAATTTAACACAAGATGAACATGTTAGAAGGTTGCACAAATATTATGTCAGAGAATAAATACAAAAAAGTTAATATCGATACAGTTAGTAAACAACCGTAGGAAGCATTTCTTTTTAAACAACATAATCACATTATGTTAAATTAACACTCGATATATTAAAAAATTCAACACAAACTGTTAACACAGACAGTGAGTGGACCGTTTTCAACATAAATACGCAAATTTTTTTTACAGTGTACATATAACGCTGTAAATATTTATACAAATTGGATAAATAATAAATTTTTATTTTTGTATAGAATTTGATGTTACTTTTGTTATAAAAATCAAATTTTATTTATAACGCTACAAACGTATACTGTAATGTTACATTAAATATTATAGATTTCCTAATATTTTCGTAAAATTAGAAATAATAGAATATTATTTATATATGTAATTTTGACGTATAAGAAGCCATGCTTAGAAAAACACGATAAATTCATTATTCCTAAACACCTACGTTCTCAAAACCTTATCTATATTTAATTTCCAGTTTTCTTTTCGGGGTCCTTATTGATCGAGATATAAAGAAATATCGTTCTCTCATTTCTCTCATCTGTCGGATTGTACTTATTATATTTACTTTTTACAACAACACATACAGATTTAGATTTATTATTCAAATTTTTACAATCACAATATTAATAGTGCTTCTTTAAAGCTCATGTCACGATATGCATTGGCAAATTGGAAGATCAGAATTTAACTAGTTAGAACAAAACAAATTAAAATTTAAATTATGACTGGTCGAATTCTAATGGGATTTCTACAATAAGCCATTACTTAAGCTTTAAGTTTTATGAAACTAGCCAATTATAGTCGATCATTCTTCTCATATTCGATTGTAATTAGTTAATTGCTTACAGCTTAAAACTTAAAGCTCAGATAATGGCTTACAATAGAAAAAAAGCCTATAATCTCTAATTCACAATACTCATTTTCAATGCTAGTGACATGAGCTTAAATACTCCAATTGTCAGCAAAGAGTTAAGACTCCCATTTAAACTGTTAAGAAAATTGAAATATTTAAACAAACTCGAATTTCCGAGCAATGTCATTGATGGTCAGCCAAAAATCGCGGATTACACGAAACTTACCGCAAAACAATGCGTAATAATTGGAATCTTGCCTAAATCTCGTGTATTACCAAGTATTATTAACTTCGAGAAAACATAAGGCTACTGAAATTAATAAAGGCTGCGGCACATGATCCATATTTTCCTGTAAGATTAATTACATTTTAATGGATCACTAAAAATTCTGTGTTGTGTGGTAAAATTCTAATAATATATTAAAACGTAAGCGATCTGGTATAGGAAAAAATATATCATGTACCACTGGCTTAACGGAGAGACGATACAATGCATCGTTTGTAAAGACTGCAGTCGTGCTGGAATTCAAGGATCGTCTGACATGAGTAGCGTCTCGACCGTGAGGTCGCGAACGATACGAGGCGCGAACCGACGATGGAAAATTACCGCAATGGATCAAGAACAAGCGTTCCAAGAGAGACAAGGATAGAACTCGTGGGGCGCGAGAAAGGCGTCGTCCCGCCTGTCGATAACTATGTCCGTTCTTTTTCGAAGAAAGTTCTATAAGCCGGTGGTATATATATATATATATATAGCTTGAAATAAAATAAAAATTTCAAAAGTAAGCAAATTTATTGAAATATTTACAACTTTATTATAGTCAATATTTAGTAAATTTGCTTATTTTTATAATTTTTATCTCATTTTGAAACACATAATGAGCGGATTTAAACTGCTGCATACTGAGAGTGTATCTTAAAATGAGATGAAAATTATAAAAACGAGTAAATTCTAAATGACGACCAATAAAATTATAAATATTTTTCAGTGTGAATTCGCTCTTTACAATTTTCTTACTTTTATTACTTTCATCTCGTTTCAAAATATAGTTTGTTTCCAACTTATATGTATATATATATACATATGTATACTGCAACAGTTCAGAAGTTTCTTTGAAAAATAAAAAAACTTTAAAGAGCCATTTATAATTAGAATAATATAAAGTTGGAATCATAAGAAATCTACCAATCACAGTCAAATGTAAGAATAACTATGATTGGTCAATTTTTTTACAGCTTACTACATAATATTATTCCAATTGTAAAAGCTATGGCACAAAAAACTTAAGCAGCAAACTAAAACATAATAAAAAGCAATAAGAACAGAGAGTAAGAAATTTCATGAAGAAATTCAACTAGAATTCTAGTATACACGATTTCTAATAGGTTGAAACCTGTTTTTTCCTGTACTTTTCATTGTGTTTACTCTTAAACACGTGTTTACGGTGTTAAAACTAAATCCAAATTTTTGGAAAAAGTTGTAACCAATCAACGTTTTTCTGTAAAAACTACATATTAATTATCTACACATTCCTAGATCCAAGAATTTGAGGTAGTAGGCAGGGCTTTAGGCCTGATTGCACCAACGTTACTTTGACTATAAGCGAAGCTTAAAATTCTTCTCTTTCTCTTCTCAAAGCTGACAGAAAGAGAGAGAGTTTTAAGTCTCGTTTAAAGTTAAAAAATGTTGGTGCAATCAGGCCTTATTTCTTTATTATACATTTTTCCGTGTGTGTGTGTGTGTGTGTGTGTGTGTGTGTGTCTGTGTGTGTGTGTGTGTGTGTGTGTGTGTGTGTCTGTGTGTGTGTGTGTGTGTGTGTGTGTGTGTGTCTGTGTGTGTGTGTGTGTGTGTGTGTGTGTGTGTCTGTGTGTGTGTGTGTGTGTGTGTGTGTGTGTGTCTGTGTGTGTGTGTGTGTGTGTGTGTGTGTGTGTCTGTGTGTGTGTGTGTGTGTGTGTGTGTGTGTGTCTGTGTGTGTGTGTGTGTGTGTGTGTGTGTGTGTGTGTGTGTGTGTGTGTGTGTGTGTGTCATGGGATTTAATCTCATCGCGATGTCAAGAGATATAAATCGCCTGATCGCGAACTGAAGTTCGAATTGTCAACGCCGCGAAAAAAATAATGTAAAAGAAAAACAAATAAGGGAAGGCACGTCGACCCTCCCTGTGTCGCATACAAATGACGCGACGCACTTGATGCGAGATGTGGCGAGATGCATTATTTGCGCGTCACGAAATATCGACAGGATGAGTTTACACAGATCAAACACACCGGTGACATCGTATTTGCTTGCCCGATCGATAAATCGCGGGAAAAAAGAGAATAGCGTGTAATCGCAAATTGAATAGGGATACATGCATCGCGATGCTGCAGAGTAAACGCTCTCCCAACACGCCTCCTCGTGACAATGGAAGCGCAGCGATCGAAGCCCCGAAGGCACGCTACATGTATTTACGCAGCGTCTTCGAGGCTCTGAATCTGAGAATCGTGCCCGCCGCGAGAAAAACAACCACGATGTCAGCGGACGCACATCTCGCGACGAACGTCTCCGATGGATTGCGACCGAATGCTGGCGAGAAACCGTACCAGAAGATCCGGGAGACCGGCTAAACGGCGCCGGATAGTCGCACCAAGCGGAACGCCGCAACGAACTCGACGTGACGTTGTATCGAACTGCTCCAATGTGTTCCGTATTTGTTCGTTTGCACGTGATCACGACAATTTCAGCAAGATGAGATAAATTGTTTCGGTACTTACCAAGTCAGTAAGTAGTCTGTAAAACTACGCGATAGAACAGGATGCGAAACGACACGATTTCCTGAGATAAAAGATGGCGAAACGGAAGTATGCGGCGACGCGAGTGGCAAGAAGAACGTTGCGGCTGGCGTCTCTTCCTGTCACTGTTGCCAACTTAAGTTTCCCCCCCAAGGAAACCAACTTAAGAAGCCAACTTAACCTAGAGTCCTAACCTAACCTAATCTGACACCAAATCACTTCGTCGTACGATGACTCTGCAACCAATCAAAAAAATCGTATCATCAATGCGAAGCAAAATCCTGCTT